CCACTCTGATTATATCCTCCTGAGACCCAAAGGAAAAAAAGTGTCTTCAAATTTCTTTTTTGTTGTGATTTTCCATGTATTTGGACCTAAAAAAGAACATTACAATTTTTTCTTATTTTTTTTATTTTTTTTTATTTTAATTTCATAGCATGTCCACTGTGGAGGACAACAGGACGATTTGCATGGGAAAATAGAACAGGCTTTAGATAATTAAATAATAAAAAAGAAGATGTCTTGAAAGGGATATTTACCTAAGAACTCTTAGGAAAAAAGTCAAGTTCCCAGCATGCAAACCTATCACATGGCACATCACTGGAAAGCCCAGGATGTCCTCTACAGAACACTATAGGGCTTGATAGGGTAACTCCAGATACTTAGGGGGGGTACAGGTGGACAAAATGTCCACTATAATGGACATAAATGAATGGGCCGGGTCTCAGGAGGATATGGGGAAAACTAGACGAAAACATTTGCATTAAACATCTCACTTAGCAGATAAAAGAAGCTAAAAAAAGTAGTTTGTTCTGTTTCAGCACAGACCACCATCTTGGAATCTTAGTCTGAACTTATAGTGACATCAAAGGGAAAGCAAAATAGAGTTTAGGAGGGATCGATCCCATGTGGGAGTGAAGCTGCATAAAGAAACATCCCCTGATGAATATGTTTTATTGAGGCCGAATAAGGCATCAGCTCAATGATTTAGATGATTAGCGCTGGATGTGTACTGCATCTATCTTAGATAAATGTCCCTTTTCCTGGGTAGCTGCTTGTCTGTCTGACCGAGCACAAAATCACCACATCAGTGCTGAATTATGCAGAGGCCGGGATAGTCGTGTGTTTTTTCCTCCAGACTTAGCGACTAGCTGCAGAAGTCTAAGTGCCGTCTCTCTTTTAAAAGAACATTAGGCAGTTCTGAGATGCTAGCGCTCGAAGCGTGACGGCTTCCTGCTACTATATTTCCCCACAGCCGGTTTCTTATCCACTTCTTCTGCATCAGCAGATGGAATTTCCAGACTGTAATTAATATTTCATGGCAGAAGAATCTAGAAACATTTTAACTTCAAACTGTCTCTAAAATGTATGCAACATATTACCAACCCTGTAGTGAACATTTGAATAAATCTTAGCGGAGGCTTTTGACGGTTTAATGTCGATTTTTATTTGATATACATAGAAAATTCATGGAAACTTGAGTCTGTCTTCAACATATGGACGGCCGTCAATTAACTTACACAGCTGGAACAGCGGCTGTTAAGCGATGAGGCTTTTCATTCACACATGACTACCCTCAGACAGCGAGGGATCTGTTCATTTGACCCGCATCGCTAACCCCCTTAAGTGAAAAAGCCCCACAAGACGGGGCCGAATTCAATTTAATCATACACTGTGAAAAGCGGTGTCAGTGTCTTTAGCGCTCCAAACTATGAGCGCGTAGAGGTGTTGGACTTAGATCATCTCCTGGGAGGACGCCAGGATGAGAGCCGGGCATCACTCAGTCAGATCTGATTTAGTTTTCTCTGAGCACTCGCATGACTTTACGAGTATAGTTTAGAGTATAAAATGATGAATGATAGCCACACATAAAATAAACGACAACCTGATGAACCCTCTCCATCAGGTTGTTTAAAGAGAAAAAAGATGATCATTTATTTGAATACTTGAATACAATGCATGTCCAAAAGAGATTTTTAAGATGATTTCTTACACTTATAGTTAGATCTAAAAGAAGGTGGGCGTGGCTCAGGGGTCAGAGCAGTGGCCTGCCATTGGGCAGGTTGGTGGTTTGATCCCCGGATTGGGGATATTGAACCCCCAGAGTGATAAGTGACTCTGTGTTTCTTTGTGTAACACACCTATGTCAGTGTTAGTACATTATTACAGTGTTATTACATAGTTATAATGCCTTCCACACAGCCACTTTAACACTAATGAGAAAAAGAATGAACAGGTGCTCATTTTTCATCGTTATTATCATTATTTTGATCTTTGAAAGGCATCTATGTTTCATGTTTAGGGAAGGATTAAGAATATCTTGAATAATGAGTTTGATCCAAACACTGCGCATAAGGACAAACAAATCAGCCTGTCACCAAATAAACCTCTCAAATCTCATTTTGTGTAAAGCAAAATACATGCTGTAGCCTATGTTTCTCTGTGGTGGGGGGAGGCAGTCCATTTAGCAAGTAATCAAGTAATCTGACAAAGTGAAATGAATGGAGTGGGGTGGGAAATGGAGGCATTTTATCTCATAGGAACCCATTTAAGAGGTACTCTGTCAGTGTTGGTTATTCTGAGAGACCCTGGGAAAGATCACAGACTGGTTGGGTGTGAATCGACATGACCACAGTGCTCTTATTGGGGAAATACCGGATTTATTTCACCACAGATTGTTTGAACGGCTTCCAAGACAGCGTAGAAGATCAACCTTAATAAACAAAAACATTGAAATCATTTTAACTTCCACTAATAAGACCACAGTTAAAGAAGCTGCCTTCATTTCTATTTCCATCTGATCCCATGTCATCTCCACATAGCACATAGTCATAGTTCTCAGCTCTGCCATGTCGGTTCCCCGTGTGAGAGGAAAGAGTGACAGACTCCGTTTTTTTAGCGGACAAGTGTGACATGTGCTGCGACTGTTCCTCTCGCTCCCACCGTGGTAATGCTCCTCCTAATTAAAATCCATCTGCGGTGTCATCGTGAATCTCACACCAGATCTGCATCGTGCCGTGATTTTTTTCGGAGCCAGCTGCAAAGAGCCCTGGAAATGGAGGAACTGAACCTAAAATGTCAAAGTTCAAGAGTCAAAATATTTCAAAGATGGCCAAAATGATGAACTGATAATCCATCATTACTTCCACTGTGGATTAATTTAATATTGTTAAAGCATCAAACGGCATTAGAACATGAATATGATCAGAAAGCACCCAATAGATTCAATGGAAGCACAGGACCTTTTTTGACTTTTGGGTTTATTGTTGCTTCTTTGCACCCCATCAGCCTCGGCTCAGATGGTGTGAATTTTGGATTCAAATTAGTACACTGCAGAAAGGCAAAAGCACGTTTTTTTTGTTTGTTTTCTCGCGTATCTACCAGAAAAGCAGAGACTCCTTAAGTCTGTTCCTGACGACGGTGTAGAACTCGACAGGAAAACAGAGGGGAAGACTCAAGGCAGATACGCAACAAGTAATCCGCCTTTGATGCTGTTTTGGCTGGTGTTACAGACACGGATTAGATGAGCTTGATCCCACACTGAAACGGGCCTTTTGCCGAAAAAGGCTCTAAGTCGAGTCACGTCTGTGAGACTGGCCCCTTAAGTGTTTTTGGAGAATCATCATCATCATCATCATCGTTTGTTTCCATTTCCACTCTACCCAAGTGACAAATGAAGTATTTTCTAATCGGTGCAGTTTTCGTAGGCCCATGAAATATTTAGTTTTTTGCCCACATCTTAACGCCCTTTGTGCAATAAAATCAGTTCTGTGCTGTCACTTTCTCACACTTGTGTCCAATATTTTTCATGTATATCGTCTCGAAAGCAGGCTACTAATTTGATCCTGCTCACCGGAAAATGAAAACGATTAGATCTGCTGGTTGATGATTTATCGCAGTTCAAAATTACTACTGACCTGATGCATTGTTGGTTATTCATACATTTCTATATCTACATTTCTATGTAATGGGATGACTGATCTAAGACTTATTACACCAAACTATCCACTGCAGTACGATGCAAGGTGGTAAATAAGAAATGCGATTCCACCTCAGAATCTGGGCCTCCCGTTTTTTTTTTCCTGTGCAGTCTGGAGTCCCTTCTGAAAGGGAAAGTGTGTCATGTAGCGTATGCAGCCAACAGCTCCTGCTCCTGAGCTCTGTTCTGGGTATTGGGGATTACATAAACCAAACCTACACGCAGTGAGGAAAACGACTTCCAATCAGAGTTTGTGCGAGAGTGTGTGTGTCTGTGTGTGTGGCTCCTCCTATGCTTTTCCCATCGCTCCCTGACAACTGACGCCTAAGCATCTCTGAAGACTTGCACCACGGGGGAGCCTTGTTTTGCGTGGCTTTCAAAGACACATATGCGGCGCGAGGAGCTGTAGAGCAGCATCTCCGAGCTGGATAAAAAAAAAAAATAAATAAAAAAAACTACGCCCACATTGTGTGAACACACGGTGACAACTTGCCCGTTTTTCTGTGGCTGTTTAAAGCATCTTTAAACAGGTTCCTCTGCATATTTTGTAGGGGAAAAAAAAGATGTATCCAAAAAGGATAAAGATGACAGTGCAAGAGGGGGCAGAATCACAGCCTTCTGCAGTGCATCTCATTTTCCCCAGCAGCATCAGCAGCAGTAGTGTCTAGGAAACATTTGTCACAACGTGAGGGCTTTTTCCGCGTTTCGCATCAGGGCGTTTCATCTGCGGGAGAGAGAGAGAAACCAGCTTGTCGCACGACACGAGGCGTCTTCACCGGGACACAAATGTTCTTTACTATTATTTTTCTGTCTGCGTGCTGCACTTAAAAGGCATTCGGGAAGACAATTCCCATTTTGACTAAGACAGAAGGGCAGCCCTGTGTGTTAAGTTTTTGGTACCAGGCGGCCCCTTTTTTACCCTGATGTGGGAAGCTCACCCCAGTGAGAACAGCCCACCAACACCAGAGCAAACAGGGAAACTTGGCTCTGGAGCAAAATCTCACTCAGCAGCTGGTGACCAATCCAATCAGATATGGTTGAAAAACCATACCCCCCCCCCTCCTCTCCCGCCACCACCTACCCTTCTACCCCTTATTCTTCTCTCATTATCCTCCGAGCATCTCGATCCCCGTCTCCAGCGGTTAAATGCCGGTGATGGCCCGCTTTAATCATCAGGGATGCGGATGTTGAGTCATGGGTTTGTTTCTAACAGCAGAAACTGGGATCAGAAATATCTTCAGTTTGTTTTTAACATCGTGTGTTTCAGTGTTGAAGGAAGAACATTAAAAAAAAAAGGCTCAGACGGATCTCGTGTTTTTTTTCTCTCTTATATTTCAAATCACAAAAGTAAAAAGGTGTTCACTGACATCATTTTTATTTGATCCAGCAAATATACAAAAGAATTATGTCCCTAATCATAGAGAAAGGCAGTGGGGCAACAGACAGGCTTCACAAATTTGACATTTTGTTGTATTCCAGCATTTTCATCTCTACGTTATAACTTAAGAATATAAAAACAGTTTTTCCCTGTGAATATTTGCCACAGTTAGACAAAAATGTACATGGTGTTTTAAACCAAGCTCAAATGGCGGAGTCTGAACTTCCAAAGGTTACAGATCTACGACAGAACCTTTTTGCCATTCATGTCCAGGACAGCAGATGGCAACATGGTGATGACAAACGGCCTCTTTTCTTAATAATATAAAATATTTTTGCAGTGCTGAGATTCAGAGGATAAACAGGTGGAGAACTACAGCTTTTCTTTTTGTGATCACTGCATAAAACTGGAAAACAAAAGCTTTAACTGATGGAAAAGAGCAAAGTCTTACTTTTCAGAAAACTACAGAAAAAAAGACCTGTACTGGACAAAGTGTCTCATTCCGATTGTGTAATTCTTTAGCCAGATCGATGACATTCTACAGCCCCTATAAGCCTTAGATCAATTCATATGGTCACAAGACAAATATGCCCCTTCCATTTATAAAAGACTGAATCCCCGTTGGTCATTTGGTCCCCTTCACTAAGCATTTAGCAATGTACTACTCATTATCCTGACAACAAAAAAGAAAAGTAAGAAAGCTTATAGACTACTGGGAAATGGAGCCCGGTATTTAGAAAAAAAAAAAACTTTGCCCAACTTAATACGTCTCCCTAATGGTACTGTCTTCCAGAGAGCGATAAATCCTTAAATGTATGCGCATAATGGCCAACGCAGTGCGGCCTCTTTGGGAACGCAGAATGAAAGCTCATACATTCACAAGTCCCAGCAGCAACGTTTTGGCAAATAAAAGCATTCTCGTTCGGGAATAGCTGCTTTAGCGTATTGAGGGCGTCACCTCTGAATCAGCAGCAGGAGCCCAGGGCTTCTTTCATGCTCCCACTTTCTCTCTGCTTCGGTTCTTATTGTGCACTATTGCTCATCGGTAGGTTATTGGACGAGCACACCTCCGACACGGCAGGGGGAAAAAGAGGCGAGGAAGAACTGGGAGAGGTCCAGAAAAAAGCCCATCAGTTAGTCATCTGGCATCCCAGAGACTCTGGAGACACCAGCAGACTGTCTAGTCCTGAGTAGCCTGAGGGAGGGCCACACAGAGATCCAAGCGTCCAGTTCAGAGGCATCTAACGCGGCCTGATCGTGACAGATGAGTCCTGACACGGCACAGACAAATCCATACGACCCACCCGAGTTAAATCTGTTCTCCACGGGCACAGATTCCATGTCTTACACCTCACCGCCACCTTTTTTTTTTTGTCTTACTGAGGACATACATTCAGCAATGTGATTTATCTTCATCCTATTATCATACAAAAAAATATATATATAGTTTTTTTTTTTTTCTGTTATGTATCAGGCACTTTCTTGGCTCCAGATGGACAAATAAGCGTGGTCAATTGCACAAACTTGTGTAAACCTTACAAACTTACATTAATCTGAAACAACTTGGTAAAAAAAATAATCTAAAAATACAACTGGTTGAACTTGAAGTAAGTCAAAGAATTGTGGCTACGAATGCATCAGTTTTAGCCGCTTATCGTTTTTAAAAAGCACCGTTTTTTTTGTAATTAGGAGTCGGGTGATAAAGTTAGAGGACTGAGGCACAGGCTTTGGTGCGTGGTGTGTGTATTATATGGCTTTGTGATCATCCACTGGAACACATGAGACTCAGTAAGTTACAGCTTTCTGAGAAAGTTCCTCAAAAACTCCTGAACCTCTGTAACTCTTACTAGTGACAAATTGAGACGATGAAAGGAATCGAGGCGCGTGGGCCCCCTCTACAGGAGAACCCCAGAATATCAAATGACAGCTCCTGAGGAGGCTCTTCCAAAAAGAAAAAAAAATGTAAAATTATTATCATGACGTCCACGAGCCCATAAGAGGCTCTGAGACACAGACTGATACATTCATGCTGCTCTTTTTTTTTGTGTTTGTGTGTCTCTCTTCCTGTGTGCTAAAAAGCCAGGAAGCTAAAATGATCTCTTTTTAAAAAAGACTGTGATGGCAGCAGAGGGTTCAGACTGAAAGACAAGGATGATGCCAGCGAGTCGTGGAGGAGATTGTCACTTATTCTCAAGTATCTCCTTCATTAGAAGGGTGAAGCATGTTCCCCCCGGTGCTGTGCTTCCCTGAACAAAGTGCCTCAAAGAATAATAAGAGCTCGTCGGGATCATTTCCCGTTGGTCCAGCTGCTGCACAAAAACTGTGCACACATTTAAAGTCGGAGGAGAAGCCTGGATGAATTATCACCCGGGCTCCTTTTAAGGCAAAGCAAACATTAACAAAACCATTTTTCCCCAAATAAATACGCTCCCAAGGGTGATTTCGTCCCGTCACATTCTCTCCTCGAAGAACCACTTCTGGCTGAGGCTGTCGGAGCAGGGCTGGAGGGAGGGGGCCGGGGTCCCGTTGTCCGTCTTGTCCAAGGCTTCCACGCACTTCTGGCTCTGGACATGGTACAGGCTTCCATCCTGTGGACCAGAACCACCAAAAACACAACCATCAGCTGGTTCTTAACTTAACTCAGATGGGTTAAAAGATGGGTTTATGTGAAAAGGAACAAAAGACAAAAACTAGTCAAAGTTTGGTTGCACGGTCACTTGTTTCTGCTTCTGTTTCTGATTGGTCTACTGTCCTTTTCGCCCTCTTTTCTGCCCCTTGCTCTTTTGTTACATTTCTTCCATCTTTTTGGGTCCATTTACATTTAGATGGTGAAGGTTTCCGTGCTATGGCTGCCCGCTAAACGGCCCCCCAGCCCTGCAGGGCGCTCACAAATGTGCTGCTGCCGCGTTCCATTCTTCTACCGGGATGTCATCCGATCCCCTCCGCTCCAAACTAGTGTCACAAATCGGCTTCACAATTTATTGGAATAAATAAATCATAATCACGCAGACCGTGCGGCGATATACAAGCATCGCCCCAATAATAACTTCTGAGCTTTTTTTATTTTTTTATTTCCTCTTCCACTCATTGCCCATGTTTCTGCCCTTTGGCTTACATTTGCATTCAAATAGGGAATCAGAAGCAGGAAAACATGCATCACCGACGGGCTGCACTTCATCTCTTACCTTTCGGAAGACAAATTTCTGATCTAATGGAACAGGCTGTCCTCGTTTTTTGCACAGCTGGACGGTTAAGTAGGTACTGACGCTGTCACCCATGACACATCCTGCTGGATCTCTAGTGTTGTAACAGATCTCCCCATCCACCGAGTATTCAAAGAACTGAGAGAAAGGATAAAAAATAGTTGGTTTTTGTTCATAAGACAGATTTACAGAGCCTTAAAAACAAAGTGGGACAAAAAACGACTTCCCTTATTTCATTCTCAGTTAATTCGGGCAGACTTTGTGCTTCGTTTTTTTGTCGTGTTCCATTTAGACCAGAATGCCATCTTAGTCACTAGAAATGCGAATGCCTGAATGTATGTGTGTGACTCAGAAAAAGAGGCTGGGACAACAAACAGTAAACAGATGATGTGTGTGTTTGTGTGTGTGTGTGTGTGTGTGTGTGTGTGTGTGTGTGTGTGTTTGTGTGTGTGTGGATCAGAACAGGCGCCGCCTGCCTGTTTGCAGCCTCCGAATGTAAAATTGGGATTCTGCAGCTCTCCCGTGAGGCCGACAGCTCAGCCGGAGCTGAAATCATTCTTTTTACCGAGATGGCACCGGTGTGTGCCCACGCAGGGGTTCTGGAGTACCGGTGCTAAATTTCACTGTGTGCCTGATTACTGACAATCGCAGAGGAAACACAGGTGGGAAAGCCCCCGCTCCCTTTGGTTCTTCAGAGCCGACACATCTCACAGCCTGGGACAGGTTAGTCAGGCCCTTCACTGCTGGGTTTGGGTCGTGTTTGTGTTTGCAGTTTTAGATAAAGCCTAAGGTTTTGGCAACTGCAATAAGCAGGAGTCTGCGCTAATGTTAAAAGGACATGAAATTGCACGCAGAAGAAGCAGAACAATAATAAAGCTGATGAGGAAATGGGAACTATGGGAAGGACGTTATCCAGAAACGTTTGAATAACTGGATAAACACAAGAAGGCACAGAACTTGTGACTGAATTAAATGATTGTGTTGGAATTAAGCTCCTTTTTTTACACTAAAAAAGAAACAAAAATAAAATAAAAAATCATTTAAAATAAAAAAAATTATAAAAAAATTTATCAATAAAAAATTAATAATAAATAAAGAAATACTAAATAAAAAAATAAAATAAAATAAAAAAATAACTGATAATTTAAAAAGGATTAAAAAGAAACATGGGCATAGAACTTAAGGTGTGCAAGTTTATCTATAAATAAACGGCCAATTTTCCAATGAAGTCCATTTTTCTAACGGTTTCCTACTACTATGTGAACAAACTAATCCTGTTTCCTTAGATCTACAAGTCCAGTGCACCACAGTATGATTTGTTTTTTGTTGTTTTTAATGTTAGCACTAAACCAAGTTCACAACGACCTCTTTTTTATGTGATTTTTAACCCAACGATGTAAAAAAAGCCCCCGGCCCGGACGGCTGACATGGCATACCTGGTTCTGGCCCATGCCGTGACAGGGGTACAGGATGACCCTTTGGCCCACCATCATGTGGTCGTCCACGGGGTTGTAGTCGAAGCAGTAGCTGGTCTTTCCCCTGTTTTTCAGCTTGCAAAAAGGAGTAAAAACAAACAATGATCTGAACTAGCTCCATGTAAATCTTTTTTTTATTTTTATAATAAAGTTACTTTTCTTGTTATTGTTCATTTATAATTAAATGGAATTCCAGTGTTTATGAGTTGATCGGAAGAGTTCTTACCATCCCAAACATGCCTGGCCGGTCGTGTGGGACGTAAATCTCTGGGTAAATATTATCCAGATACCACTTGAAGCTCTTGCAAGCCAGCTTCTCCCGGAGCTTCTTCCGCTCGGTCACATCTCCGAAGGCCTCCTAAAAAGAAGCCCAAAAAGAGTCAGAGATCCTCTTCCTTGTTGAAGCTATAACTCATGTCAGAACAAACCCTCAATCAGAACCGCCCTTAAATCCCGGTTAAACAACAGCGGGAGGATCGAGTGTGTCTGTTTGGTTTTGTGTTTACAGTGGACTCTTTGTCTAAAGTCGGTGCTAACGTCAACACAGAACGCAGAAACAAGGTCCATCCCCACCAGAGGAAGGAGAAGGTCTCCATTTTGCTTTGCCAGCCCACAAATGTTCACCGCTCCTTCTCTGCTGGAAGAGGGGCTGAGAAGCTCAGCGGGATGATGGATGTCGGTGGTGTGCCCAAACACTGCTCTAATTGCCTTTTCATCAGTTTAGCGGCCAGGAGACGGAGTCCAAAAGGAAGGAGCCCTTTATCACCGGCAAACAGAGGCAGTGGATGAAAACTCTCCAGATTTCCTGTTCTGTCCCGATCCCGGCCTATCAGAGCATGTATTCACGTTTAAAGTTCTTTATCCTACTTACTTAGTTGTCAGAATCATGTTGAACAGGGATTTGCACTGATAACTTAATAGTTAGGACACAGACCTGTGGGTCAGGAGATGCTTATGCTCGTGCGGGATTGGACTTTTTTTTTAAAAACTGGATCGGGAATCTGGACCTGCATTTTCTCCTGTCGGCCGGTCCGCATTTTTTTCCAAAGTTCGGCGTCCGATCCGATCCAGATATTGGATCGGGACGAGCCTAGTTTGCAGAAATAAATGAATAACAGAAATAAATAAAAGGATCAACCCATGCCTGCATGTGAGGCTTGGGTTTGGGCTTGGCCTGAGGCTGTTGGCCTTTTGCCGAGGCCTCTTCCACTCAGGCAGATGAGCGCCACCCGATCTGTTCTGTTCTTTAGGGAGCCTCTCCCCCTTCGGCCCGCGGAGGCGGGACTCCCCCCGCCGCCCGGCGCTGACCTCACCCACGCCAAGGGCGGGTGGGTGACACCCGCTGGCACCGAGGCGGTAACCGCACACCGGAATGCCCCGACACCCCCGCCACCTCCAGCCTGAGCCGCTCGGGTGTCCGGAGAGCCACTTAATCTGGGCCTCGGCTACACGGGGAGAGTGTGAGGCGGACCTCTATAACCAATAAACACTTGAAAGTCACGTATTTTTGTTATGGTTGCAGGTGAGAAAAAAATACTGCTCAAAAATAAATAGCAATACATCTAATTGAAATTCGATCCATTATTCGACTTGACATCTGAGGTAAATTTCCAACATGACGTCGAAGTCATAAAATATAAAAATTCTATAAAAATAAATAATCTAAGTTAGTTTTAAGTTCACGTAGTGAAAGTTAGAGTAAGTTAGGGTACATTCTGTATCATAACCTCCACCTTTACCCCCAATAAAACCCACTTTTTACTGATTATTTCTTTATCATTCATTTCTTTTTACATCTCTATATATAATGCATTTGTTTTATTGCTATGTGTAATTATCTGCCGTATTCATTAAGGAGTTATCGCAGTTTTTTGGGCTGTGGAACGAATTATACGAATTACAGTGTATTTTGATGGGAATATTTGAACCAACATACGAATATTTTAACATACGAAGTCGGTCCTGGGACGAATTAAATTTGTATGTTGAGGTTTTACTGTATTCATCTGAAATTGGATGCAATGTCCACTCAAACGGTGGCTGTACGGCGGGGACTCACCAGCCGTGCGTGGGGGTTGCGGTGGTAGTAGATCTCTTTGAATTCGTCCATCCAGACCTCGGCCGCTCTCACGCTGTTGGCCAGCGCCTTGCCCCGGGAGTACGGGGCCTTTTTGGGAAACACGTGACCCACGTGGGAGCACGGGTGGACCTCCAGGCTGCCCCCGCACTGCCAGATCTAAGAGGCATCAAAACCGTCCCGGCCAGTTTTTGGTTAGCAGGGAGTTAATCAGACAGCACAAAGCACAGGCTGGTGGAGTAGTGCCTAAACAGGAAGACAGTTTTGTTTCTGGAGAGGCGCATTTTTGCACCGTCTCTTGGGAGAAATTGCAGTAATTGAAGGGGAAAAATAAAATAAAACAGGATCTTCAAATTCTTTTTTGAAGAAGTACTGCTCTCCAGGGCCTGTTTTGACTAGCTGTGTAGATATAATTCTTTCATTGTGGTTTGTGGGGAAAATTGCTACATACTTCTGGGCGAATTCAAACCAGACATGGCGGTGTTTTTATGCTGTTTGTAATGAGCTGTGGCTCAGCGCTAAAGCACTTTGGACACACTGCGTCAGCCTAAACAAAGCTACACAGAGCCAAAAGAACACACCTATTTTCTATAAGCAAAGAAAATAAATAGAAAAAAAAAAGATTAGTCACCCTGAAGGAGAATTCCAGGTTCTCTCCTCCCCACACCTCCATCCCGGTGTCATACGTCCCCAGGTACTGGAAATAGCTCTTGCTCACAGAAAACAAACCACCGGCCATGGTTGGAGACCTAAAGAAGAAGAGAAAAAAGAGCTAACGGAACCTGTGCCGTTCGGTTGAAACGGACTGGAGTCCGGACTCCCGCTCACAGACCTGATGACGTCGGTGGGGGAGCGCCGGCGTTCCTGTTCGTGCTCCGGGACGGTGTGCCAGGTGAAGACCAGGCGCCAGTCGAAGCCCCCGATCTGGGGCTCGCCGGAGTTGCCCAGATACTCGAAGGTGTTCCAGTCGATCACGTCGATGACGGGACACACCACCGCCTTCGGCTCCTCTTTGATCCTGGCGGGAAAAGGGAAGCCGTCTGAATCTGAACATCCCGGAGTCCGAGCGGTCGTCTAGTTTTCCGGCCGATTTCCCCGGTGGGCCCCTCACCTGTGCAGCAGCGGCTCCAGCCAGCCGTCGTGGCACTCGCAGTGGCAGTCCAGGAAGGTGAGCACGTCCCCGGTGGTGATGGAGGCCCCCAGCAGGCGGGCGCGCACCAGCCCCTCCCTCTTGGTGGCCCGGATCAGACGCACCTTCCTCACGCCCGACAGGTACTTCTCCAGGGGCTCCTTCAGGTGCTCTTCCGGGAAAAATCGAAATAAAGGAGAAGAGAGGCCAAAACATGGGATTGGAGGAATCTGTTATTACGGTGAAAAACGAACTTTTGAATAACATCTGGAGCTTTTCTGATGCTTCTACACAAATCTACATCAAAATATCTTGTCCTATTATTGTGAAATGTCGACCCACACAATGTGTGTGTGGGGGTGTGTCTTAATTTGTGTCCTCTCTGCTTGTCGTGCTGGTCGGGTGAGGCGTGCACCGTCTCATTCAATGGTTTTACAATTCCAATTTATTTGACAACCACTCCCTAAAAGTGCCGGAGATCCTGTGGTGCAGGTTCTCCACCTGACGTCAACGCCACAGGAGGATGTCTTTATGGCTAAATCCTGCTTTACCTATTTAGAAACAGGCCACAAAGTGCCCCTCCTTGGTTTTTTATTGTTAGACGGTTAACAGGAGGACAAAGAAGCAAACGATTCGTCTGTGATGCAATCGGAGTTCCACGTCGTCTCTGGTTTGCCTCTGTTCAACTTCTCCTTTCCTCAAAGTCTCTCCACCTCCCGAAACCCATCTGATCCCTTCCTGACCGTGTGTGTGTGTGTGTGTCCCCTGGCCGGCCGGGCCTCTACCTCTGTCGCTGTAGTCGTCCACCAGCACCACCTCCTTCAGCAGGACGTCCGGTGAGGTCTCCAGCACGCTGTGGACCGTCCTCAGCAGGGTGGACCAGGCCTCGTTGTAGAAGGCGATGACCACAGATGTGGTCGGCAAAGACCTGTAGTCATATTTCAGCTCTCTGCATCTAAAAAGGAGAGCGAAAGAGATGGTGAAAACAGCAACCCACCTCCACACACACTAACAAGCAGGGAAATAACTTTAGTATCACACACTGGGAGCAGTAACAACTCAGTAGCATCAAGTTCTAACATCCAGATGTTCTGAATGGCCTCTAAAAAGTGATTTTTTTGGCTTAAAAGCAGCTGCTTACAGCGGGTTCCATCTCTCTGGCAGCCGGCGGTGCAGCGACACTCTGTCACTGACATAAATGTTAATCTGGTGCTTCTTGAGGCTTTCCTCCTCTTTCCTTTTCTCCTCCGCGTTCAGGTTCAGCCTCACGGGTCTGCCTATCTCCCCCGGTGCGTTCAAGTCCAGAGGGGGCTTCTCGTAAACGGGTCTCCTCAGCTCCTCGTCGCCGTCCACCACCTCCGGTTCCCCGGGGGCTTCCCGTCGGTCGGCGCCGCCGGCTTCCCCGGAGCCGTGTCGGAAAAATATCACGTATCCCAGCAGGGTGACTCCGCAAAGGAGGAGAACTAACTTGGGTCGGTTCCGTCTTCCGCGTGCCGCCATCGCGTCTCTTCTTTCCGAGGCTCCGCAAAGTTTGGACCCGCTCTCATGCCCTCGCGACTCAATTAAGAGGACCGAGGGACCGTTGGAGCTTCAACTTTATTCCTCATAGTTTCGGAAAAAAGTTCAGTCCAAGCATCCATTGGACGGTCTTTTAGGGCACGTTCCCCAGACGGCCGGCCGAAAGTGAAAAGACCGTTTAGTTAGAGTTTACCCGGAACCTGAACGCCTCTTCAGGGACGGTGGGACACGGGCGTCCTGCGGCTGGAATCTGTCCCACTGTGAGTCCAACAAGTGTGAACGGATTAACAAACTCAGATGAGATTAGCTAACGAGTATCTCTTCGGATTGGCTGGCTCTCTAACTTGTCGGAGACGGAAATAAGCAGGGGTCAAACTCGGAGATCCGGAAATTATTTTTTACATTTCGGGGAGAGGCTGAAATATTTTCGACTAATCAAACCCAGACTTATCGGGTCACTGTCGCCATGACAGTGTGTGTTTGTTAATATTTGACGGTTTGACTTTATACGCACACCTCCGCAGAGCTTTGAACACACATTCTGAAAAAAACTTTACTTTTTGGACACTATTTGAGCTAAAGTGAACTGTTAAACTCGCGGAGCTAACAACCTAATTTCCGGTTTTTGACCATCAAAGTAAAGCCTAGTAACTCCTCCAACTTTACCATAAAAAGTTAGTTTTCTAAACAGTTTTTTTTTTATTGAAAAGTTTGAAAAGAAGTAGTGTAAATAAGAGTTTATTTTTTTAGGATGGTTAGGCTGCCTCGTTTATAAATATTTGCTCAAAGTGACATGGTATTTTCCAGGTCAAGTGAAAAGTTTCATTTGTGTAGATGTATGGATTTTTAGTTTTCATTCAAGACAACTAAACTGTTTTACTGTCACAAATTTTACATTTGATCACATTTTAAAGCCAAACATTAATACAAATGCTTTCAATATATAAAAAAATGGTAAATCTGGACACGTTGAATCACATTTCATTGGTTGTCGCTGAGTTAGTTTTAAATGATTGAAGACGATTCCACAGATATAAAAATCTTTTTATTTTATCATCCTTTCCGAAAAGTGACAGTTTTTCGATTCCAAATCCACTTTACTTGACATCCACTTTACCCCCACCTTTGGTCAGTGTATTGTTGTGGACATTTTATTTTAAAGCAAAAGTCTGAGTCCATCCGAGGAAGTAAGAAATAGAAATGTATTAAAATGGAAAACTTCATGAAGTGAGAGCAGCCAGCACGATCATACAAATGGTTCATATGACGTACCGAGCTGCTCTAAAGGAAAACACGGTCTGAAATAAGACGTAAATTTTGTCTTTCACTCTAAAATGAGATGTAAAGTCTGTCCTTCATCCTGCGTCTGTCTTAAACAATCCTCGAGACAAAAGATTGTTAGACAAAATATGAGGAGACCATCTTTGAGACCTTGAAGGAGAAAAGAACATTTAAAATCTTCAATTATGGCAAGTTACCAGAGAGAAATTAAGAAAGTTATTATACATATATTGATTTCCCTCACAGTTTTAATCCCCAAAACAAGAGGCCTGGGTCAAAGTTTATCACCACGGCTGTCTTTGAGACACGTTCAGTGAACCTGGGACACTCGGGACACGGCTCATAATAATTCACCTCGGGGGGGTTTTATATGCTGGGCCAGTTGTCAGTCACCTGAAACTGATATGAAAACTCTTGACACCAAAGCTGAAATCTGACACAAAATGTATGTTCGAGCAAATTAAAACCATCCATAATTAAGGCGATCGTTGGTGGCCAGGAGGTAATTTGAGTGGCGCAGTGTTTGATCGAGCACCCGTATCGTAAAAACTACAAAGACACAAGAGGCGGCGACAAGTCAGCCGTTGTCGTGTGGTAATGTGCCACGGGAGGCTGAGCTTGTCACATCTGTCAGAAACACTATATCAAAATGTGGATGCATGAGGGCCTTTTCATTTAGGACAGAATAAAGGAGCCCCAGTTTCCATTAAACAAATATTTGATGTGAATGCCTTAATAGGGCTCCATTAGAGCAGCGGTGACTTGCACCTTTGGACTGGGTTTTGTTCTTTTTGGTTTCCCCTTAGAGATGGTAAATTTTTAGAAGGAATTTTAACGTCTTTATTTAACATATTAGGGGAACGAGTGTTTGATTAGAATGTAAATTACCTTCTTTTTCCTTTTGCTTCTAACTCTAATTAAATTAATAAAAGAGTTACTCTTCGCAGTTTTACGTGAAGCACTGAACAGATGGTTATTTCTAAGACATTTTCCAGTTTGGCACCTTGATCTAAGTAGGATCTCTAAACTTTTGCTGGCATCACTGTGGTCCTGGGAGTCCGTGGTGGGTGTTATCCCCTCTGCCGCCACCAGATGGCAGTAAACGACCAGAACATGGAGGAGTGGCAGCTTTTGCCCTCATGGACAAAAAACAAGAAATAACGTCATTCAAGTCAACCATATGATGCGTTTGCGTACACTAAAAAATACTGAAAACAGAGAGAAAAGAGAGCAACGATGTAAAGTTCTGCGTTTGCCATTAGTTTTTATTTTTCAAATTACTCCAACATTTAAAAAACTCCCATCTGGTGACATTCCACGATTATATCAAATGACCGACTTCCCTTTTTTTTCTTTATCAGTAGTTTTACATTTGTTTTACATTACAGCTGTCCTCCTCTGGTCCCTTCAACCACACATTATTTACAAATGTTGCACAAAACAGGAATATTCTCTTTATGTTTGCAAACTTTCCATTTGCGAGTTTGAATAGCTCATATGCATGACTGAGAGAACTATAGAAACTATATATTGCTCGGTGACATTTAGGGTTGAGCAAATAAAGCTGCAGCAGACTCGAGGCTTAGACAGCAGTTAGACTGCATCTCCTGGTCTCTGAATCCCAAAATGGGGCTTTTACTGGAAAAACAAACAAACCTAAGAGGAGTGTTTTGTTTCAAGTACAGTTTACACACAGAAGTCTCCAAAAAAAGGCACAAAGGTGCTCGCTTTAAGGCTTTTTAAAACCTAAAATGAATCATACCAGTGTTGTTTTGCTTTTAGCATACAAAATACTCTAAATAAATCTGACACCCAGTGGCACATTTCATTTTGGCACGAATCCTTTTTTCAGGATGACAGGCTTTCAAAGGCAGAGTGACAGACGGGTTTCCAGGCTATTCTTAATTTTACACGGCGGGGAAGAAGAGATTACAACGTCCCTGTCGACTCGGTTTTGCTCTTGACGGGGAAAAAAAATTGCTAAGTTTCGAATGCCCTAATGAATTCTTCAAGTCTTGTTCAGGCAGTTTTTCTCCCACTGGCACCACAGGAAAGAGCCAGAAGCGAGAGGCAGCGTAGTATGACCGCAGAGCTCTCGCTACCTTTCCCCCCCCTCACATGATACGGCATGTTAGGAAGTAACCGGTTCAGGGCAAAGTGCTGCTGACCTCACATTCCTAACACGCCTTCCCTTAGCAGCCGTTTTTTTTACATTTATTGACAACTATACAAACAGGCAACGACTAACTAACAATAGTAATCGATACCCATTCTGTAGTGCAACGCCGTTTTCTAGCTAGTTTTAAATCTTTTTTTTTTTAAGGCACTTCTTCATGTGCAGGACAAATCAAATCAGTTTCAGTTGCTTTCGGTTTCTGGTTTGCAATGTTCTCCGTTTTCGGTTGAAGAGGCACTTGAGAGGAAAGCAACAGTTTGTCTCCTAAATGGGAGCGGGCTCACCTCCTCCACTGCAATCTGCACTCTTTCATCTGGGCCCGACAGGCCTCCAGGGGGTGAATCAGTGGCTTCAAGATGCTCTTTCAACGCACGTTTTGTTGCCGTTCGCATTTAGTTGCGGCGCGGATTTTTCGGAGAAGACGTCCGCGGTCACTTTCACCTCCTTCCTCCGTCTACCACTCGAATTTCCACAGCTGGTTTCTGTCCTCCGGCTGGCACCTCCTCATCTGGGTGTCGGTGCGTCCCTCCGCCGTGCGCAGGGCCGTCACACACGTGTCCGACTGGGGGTGGTAAATGCTCCCGTCCTGGAGGAAAAGACACCAAAAAACAACAACGGCGCCCCTTTGAAACGGATGCGGGGGAGGTGAGTCACGAGGGGAGTCGGCGTGGACCTCTCTCACCTCTCTGAACTCCCAGACGATGCTGGGAGGCTTCTGCTCCCCGTCACGAGGGCAGTGCCTCATGCCGATGGAGCTCTGGCCCTCCAGCACCTCGGCGCACAGCTCTGTCACCGAATTGAAACGGATCTCCTTCTGGGACGTGTATTCAAAGTACTGGAACAGAAAACAGACCAAGTTAACTCATTGGCTGCCAAAGACGTCTATAAACGTCTTTTATGTTTTTCAACGCGAGTGGCTTGGGGGACGATCCGCTAAAGCTTGTCCGTAAATATCGGCTTCTAGACAGAGTATGTAGTAACAAATTGACCCTCTAGGTGGCAGTGCCACTTTTGATGGGAGATGAGCATAGACTGTAGGCAAATAAGAAAAACGTAACGTTTCGCTATGAGAAAACATGTCGCCGGTGAGACGCAAGTCCAGGAAGAACGGAATAAGATAGAAACACATTTTTTTTACTGATGAAAGAAGAGAGTCTACTCTTTCTTTTGGTGTGTTCGGTGTTTACATAGTCATAGCACAAACTATTCTGTGGCTCTTGAAAAATCTGTCAAAATGCTCAAAAAACTCTGGCAGTATGGGACTCTCTGTTCTGAAAATGGCTGCCAGTCAATGAGTTAATAAAGAAAATAAAAATGTGTATGCATTTGAAATGTATTTTACCAGTTTATTTTTTTTAAAACAGCCCAAAAGGACATATTGAAAGTGTTTCTTTAACTTTTTTTCTATGGGATCCTGTCCTGGTGGAGCCAGTGAGTGTGCTTGTGTGTGATGGGCCCTAATCAGTGAAGACAAGGGCTCGGCCCTCTCAATCAAGCCGACGTGACTCTAAACCCAACTCTCCCTCTTTTGGTGTCGGCTCAACTAACAGACCCAGCGGGACAAAAGATGCCAACGCTCCCCGGGCTGCCCGTTAAACGAGGGTCAGGTAATCAATCTTCATACTTCCTCATCCTCCTTTTCTCCTCTCATGTATCTTTCAGGTGCACTGAGGCCTGCGATGGTCATTTCTAATAAGAGCCTCTCTCCTGACCGCCGTCTCCGGCTGCCCTGGCACCGCTCATGCATCTTTTAAACGGAACGCGGCCGGTTCCCACGTGGGCCGGGGAAAAAACGGGGGGGGCGGGAGGGAAACGGCGCCTTTTTTCCGTCGCAGGGGAGCCATTCAGACGTTGATTTTCAGTAAAAACGTAGTGCTTCGGGGACTTAGGACGCCCGATGTGCATCAATGAGGCAATCAGACGTCTCCGGCAGGTTTCAGATCCCCAGAAAAAGAAAAAAAAGAAGCCTTTTGTCTGACTCCTACATTCATCCACACAGACTAAGTCATCTTGTGATTTTAAAGCTCCCGTTCGGAGGGATGACATAAATGTACAGTAGTCCCTCCTGGGTCTGACAGAGGATAGCTTCTGTTCTGGGTTAGTTTTTGAAGCGTACCTGGTTGCCTCCCTGGCCGTGACAGCCAAACAGAGAGAGGTGTGCACCCGTGGGATTGTGCTCCGGAGCGTTGTAGTCCAGACACTCGGACTGTATCCCGGAGCTCCGCACCTGCCGAGAGAGCGAGACTTATCAGCAGCCGTTAGGACGTGGGGCTAAATATGGATTCCTTTTAACAGTCCGTTAGACTCTGCAGGCAGATGCCAGCATCAGGCCACAAACAGCTGTAACCTACTGGTTGATTTAGTCATCTGATTAATGACCCTGCATTAAAAAACAACAGGTTTTTATCTTTTATTTGTTTTCAGTACTCTCACACATTCCGCTACTGTGATTGTGAACTTTTACAAACGTGGACAATTTCCAATGAATTTTTTTTAACTTTATTATTATTAGGCGACAATCATTTCGGACTAGGCCCTGATCCTCACTCATGTTATCTCAGCTTGAAGCACAATTGCTGCACAAAGCAGAACACATTCATATCTCACAAGTCGACTCTTTCTGCCTCAGTGGAAGAGTCGGTTGTGGTGAATAATGAGAAGAGACTCACGGCCCCGTGCCAGCCCTCCCTGTCCTCGGGCACGTGGAGGTCAGGGTATATGTTCTTCAGATACCAGTCGAAACTGTTGCACTTCAACTTCTCCCTCAGCAGCAGCCGCATTGAGATGTCCCCATAGGTCTCCTGGAAACGTCAGATGCACTGATTTGGAGTGATTCGAGCAACGCGGATTACATATTTGCAATTAGACCTGTCAAGTTTTGGATGAATTCACAAGAAAGCAAGTCTGTTCTTGTACTGAGTTGGAAGCAGTCAGGACTAATATCATTTTAAAAGCGCTTTACACTGCGTCTGCGTTTTAGATGTTTCCATTTATGACACTAATTCACGTCACATTTTCTAAAAGCTTGTTGTGGTATTTTTCAAGGCGTGGAACTACGCCTGAAATTACTGAAATAGTCAGCGTTTGCACTCATGAATCTGTCTTTACCTGACAGGTGGAATGCAAATCACTGAGTCTGACATATCCTCACCTTTTTCAGAGACAAAGCAATGACCTGACCGGTATTTCAGGTCCACACGCCTGCAAAAATATTCTCTGGGCATTTACGCACGGTCACCATCAAACCAGTTCTGTAATTATCCGTTTGTTTTCACATCAAACTGTCTGATTGTGATTTTTTTTTTTTTTAAAGGGCGAAAATAACACTTTCTTTACCAATAAGCTTCTAAAAAGTGTCCTTGAAGGCAGCATCCTGATCGTTCCGGGGCTGCAGATCGTGTCTGGCAGGGCTGTGTTCAATCTCCCCCTGACCAGATAATTGATTGTTTGATCAAAGATCCCCGACATGAATAATGCACTTTTCCCGATATGTGTAACTGAGATCCATGAATTTTTGATGGGGCCCGACGCTGAGACCTGAGAAGCGGCGTTCGCCTCCCGGGCGCACGCATTCACCGGCCCGACCCGGAGAGCCAGACGGTGTGAGATCATGTGTTGACATCTAGACAGGTGAATTATACCGTATGAAACACCGAAATCTAGCATCGAGGTCTACGACTGGGCGGATTATGTTACTTGGCGTTGGAACAGATCATCGTTTCAGGGAACTTTCTGAAGGAATAACAATGTCCCAGCAGCCAAACATTGTCTTTAAAAGGCTCTCTCCCTTCTGCTGGGAGCGTCCTACCTTTTTGGCCGGAGGGTTTCTGTTGTAGAAGTGTTGTTTATACGAGTCCATCCAAACCTCTGCGGCTCGCACAGTATTCTGGAGGAAGTTTGGCCGCGCGTAAGGGGCCTTTTTGGGGAAAACGTGGCCCACGTGAGAGCAGGGATGGATCTCTAGACTGCCGCCGCACTGCCACACCTGTGGATGCCACACATATTACATAGCACAGAGAAATAAACTGTGTTTTACCAATGCCTCAGAACAGGTGTGACTTGTATGTTTAAACTGAGTGACACATAAAGCACTAAACCAGGGCCAAATTATGAAAATGTATTAGTGCCTCAATCTCATTGAGAATGGAGAGCTGAGGAACTAGAATGAAACAAATAAGGAAAGATAAGAGTTGTAAAAGATTTTTTGGGGCAAAGTGTATTTGTTGGTGAAAAATGTTATCCAGAATAAACAGGAAAAGAGAAATAACTAAACAAAACCATTTTTGACAAAAGAATCATACATCTATAAATCTTTATAACTTTTAAGCTCATGAATCTTGTAAAAAGTCCAACTATTTCTATATTATATTAGAGCAATGATTGCTAATATTAATTTAGACTGGAGAAGGCCTATTTCATTACAAAAAAAACTAAACCACAACATGAATGAAGAATGAAATGATGACGACAAGGTTTTTTCTCAGTACTTTAAAAAGAAAGTTCCAATCACATAAATCAAAGTTATTATCATATTAGAAAGCCTTAACAAAACTGTTTTGCATCTGAATTTGTCAGGTAATTTAATCTTGCAGCATTTTTTCTGCGCTCATGAACTGAAAACCTATTGACTGAACATGAAAAATGTTCAGCGAAAATTTCCACACAGACATTTTTAAAATTCTGTTAATGGAAACAACTGTAAAGTGACACCAAGATTATAACACCAAGGGACACCAAGTCCTAAACTGGACTTACTTATACTATAGAGACGGATTCACTCTATTATGGATTTTTTTTAAAAACTTAATTGTCTAAACAATTCATTCACTGTGAAAAACAGTAATGGCAGGGTAATGGGAGCTACCCCGGTAAACAAAGGCTTTAGCAGCTAACAAGGCTTAGATCAGGGTCTTTGTCAACATTTTCAAAGCTCGTCTTGCTAAATAGCTTTGTGATCCTTTCTGATGGAAAACTGAGCTCACCCTGAAAGAGAGCTCCAGGTTTTCTCCTCCCCACACCTCCATGCCCATGTCATACGTGCCCAGGTATTCAAAATAAGCCTTGCTGACGGCAAATAATCCACCCGCCATAGTCGGAGACCTGTGGGGGCACACACATAGGAAGCTCGATAAAAGGGGGAAAACGTTCAGAATTAGTTAAGCACAATGGTCCTCCCAAAGGTTTAACGGCCCATCACACAATGTCGGTAATCGGTAATATGAGAAATGAATGGTGGCATTAGTCGCGCATTCATTTTGAAAGCAGATCTCCGTGTTGGTGCATGCCAATCTGATAAAGTGATTTTTTATTCAATCAGTCCGGGAGGATCAGAATCTCACCTGATAGGGTCAATGCGAGACTTGCGTCGTTTGCGTTCCACTTCGGGGACGGAGTGCCACTGAAAGGTCAGCCTCCAGTCGAACCCCCCGATCATGGGCTCGTCCGTTTGCATGTAGTACTCGAAGGTGTTCCAGTCGATGGTGTCGATCACGGGGCACACGATGGTGCTGGCGTTCTCAGCGATCCTGGTCACAAGGCCGGTAGAAATGTTGAGATGGAGGCGTTGTTTTGGACAAGTTTCGTGGGCACTTTGTTCGGAAAACTCTTGATGGTTTACCTCACCTTTCCAGCAGAGGCTCGATCCAGCCCGGGACGCACTCACAGTGGCAGTCCAGAAACGTCAGCACGTCGCCGGTGGCGTAGGTGGCCCCTATGAGACGCGCCCGCACCAGCCCCTCCCTCTTATTGGTGCGGATCAGCCGCACGCGCTGCAGGCTGCTGATGTAGTCGGCCAGCTGGGATTTCAGGTAGACTGAGAGACACACAAACATAATTTTCATTAAAGCAATTAACCCTTCGTACACTTCCATATAACAGTTGCGTAACTAAGGCTTTCCTTACAATAATTCTTTACTAATAACGAATCATTTACCCTGAATTAATTCATTTCTGACCACTTTGAATCAAAACAAAACACACTACTACTTGAAAGAGCTTATAAATGAATATCAAAGTGATTTGTTTCAAATAATGGAGTCTTCTGTGGTGTGCAAAACCTACAAAGTAAAACGCTCATTTAAAAAGCCTCCAGTGTTGTTTTGTTGTAACCTCTCTGGGTTAGCAAAGGGCATGTCCAGCATTGCATTTGGGGTCTGTGGCTAGAGGAGAGGAAATTATGTCATGGCAGCCCAGTGCTGTGTGAGGTCATCGGCATGGCGTAATGTCTCAACACTGGACGGGTCCTGATGTGTGTTCCACCCAGACACACAAACACGGACCCTACTGCCCTGTCCAGTCTCAGAGAAATGCCGGTGTCACTCTCAGGGCAGACATTCCTTTGAAGAAACTTATGTGATGCGGCTCAAAGCTCCCTTCAAGGCAGTCGAGGCTTTTTTTGTCACACAAAAGAATGCTCGTTCCGAAATGTCTGAACTGTCACACCCAGTTGTCGGGTCAAGAATGAAGTGAATGCTAACCCTTCTTTTCTCTTCTCGTCATAAAACGGACTGATGTTAAAAGACTGCTAACAAAACCAAACTGTGTATTTGCTTTTAGCATGAAACCCATGCCCTGACTTCTTTTTTTCCCCCTGAATTTGTTTTTTTTCGCATTATGATGCCGTCGTTACAAATTCAAAGACACACGGCTGCTTGAATCTGGTTCATTTGCAGCCCGTGTTGTTGGTTTTGCTAACTTCAAAGGCTGTCACTCCGTCTCTCTTTTACTTTTACAGACTCGAATGGACCCAACGTGACTGCAGGGCTTCTGACCTCGGTCACTGTAGTCATCGATTAGGATGATCTCTTTCAACAGGATGGCGGGCGTGGTCTCCAGCACGCTGTGGATGGTCCTCAGCAGGGTGGACCAGGCCTCGTTATAGAAGGCTATGATCACAGAGGTGGTAGGTAAATGCCGGTAGTCAAACTTCTTATTCCGGCATCTGAGGTATGCGTGTGTGTGTTTATGTGAGTGGAGGGAGAGACAGAGTTGACATAAGCATTAGTATACATATTCAGTGCACATTTACACAGAATAACAACACTCTTAAGTCCCTCCGAAGCAACGCGAGCGGAGGACGGAGACGTCTGGGCTTGAGCCAGATGGCGGCCGTTAAACGAATGAAGTGTTGCTGAAATATGGCCGGGGTGTGGAAGGCTATCGCACCAGAGAGCGACATACCACAGCAATTCTCCGCCAGAGACCACAGAAATGACAGCAAACAGGGACGAGAGGAGCAACAAAAGGCGGAGCTCAGAGGGATAAAACTCAAAGAAACTAGAAAATGTGAGACGTTTTAATAAGAAAAACTCGGTACAGCTGGATTAATCTTTTAGAGAAACACGAGGCTGTTTTTATTGGGTGAAAATAACCACAACATGCGAAGACTAAATGAAAGGGAGACAGAAAATCGACTTGGAAAACATGAAATGCTTAATGAGACGCTCTTTGGGAAAGGAAAGGGACCATCTATGAAAGACAAATTCCAAACTGGCCCACAGCAGCGAGAGACAGGTTGCATTGAAATACAAATGTGGAGGATTGCAAAAGAACCGTCTGGTGCCTGTGAGGTGCTTAAGCCCCATTAAAGCAACCCAGAAGCTCAGCAAATCTGCGGGAGATGACTGGACATGGTTGTGTCTGCACCGGGAAAGGGAGGTTCCCTTTTTGTTTCGCAACTGGATCATGGGACGAACAGAGGAAAAGCAGACCGACGCAATGACGAGTGAAAAAACAAGATCAGAAATCAAACGGGGCTAAGGTCACAGAGCTGCAGCCTTACGATGGAGCCACCCGAATCTGACCAGCCTCTCCAAGAGAGACACACCCTGATGTCATTTCTGTCTATTTACATATACAGGATATCTATTAAACCCATTCCGAAGCACATGAGATCAACAGTCTTTGGGGAGTCTATGTTTTCGTTTCACGGTCTCCGTCCAGATTACAAATGTAAATGTTAAGATTAAGGAACAGTCTCCTCATCTTTTCCAGTGCTTTGGCAGGCTGATGCTTTATCCATCAACAAGGAAGTACAGAATTCAGCCTTTTAGCAGACGCTAAAAGAGGAAGAATGGCTACAAAATGTGCAGTACAACTACCCACATCTACACCAGTACAGGAGCAGGAATGAGTTAATCTGCAACACAACACGCAGCTCTTATCGGAGCTGTGCATCTCCAATCGGCCAGTTCGCATCAGGTAACAAACACAATGTACACTCTCTCTGAATTCACAGGGGAGCACATTTTCTCTGCATGTTGCTACGAACGCTTCCCCTCTTTGGGAATTCTCAGCATTAAGGGGAGGTCAACGATGGAGCCCTCTCTGTTGTAAGACATGCCAACTGAACGTTAGGTCCGATAAGGACATCTCTTATTTCACTATTTTGATATATTTTGTTTCCTGTTTCCATGGGTGATCACATCATAGAGGAATATTACCAAAAAAATGTCATTCCAATACTGTTTTTTCTTTTTGAGTGGTCTGGAGGATTGATGACATCATAAGATGTGATGACAGTCAGTGTGTACGTGTAATAATGAACATTTTAACTACTGAAATGTAGTCTCGTATTTGCGTAGCACAGTATTCGATAAGCCTCGTGTGCCCTAACTATTCCCGTCTCGCCCACGTTAATGTCTTTATCAGTTGCCAGGCAGCGGCACTCACTGTATTAAAGCTCAGATAAGATAAGCTGGTTGTGCACGATGGAGCTGCCGCCATATTTTTTCCCCGCGTCCACCTGCGGGGGCAAACCAGCAGCTGTGGCCAGATGTTTTCTGAGGGGACGATGCCATGTTACAGGCTCAGTGTGGCAGAAGAGCTCAGGCAGGAGCAGTGTAAGTGGTCAGGGTTTAGATGGAGGGGACTGACTGGTGTGAGGAAAAAAGGACTGAAAAAATTATCTCTACACTAACATGTTGTTTTTTTCTAATACAAATACTTATGTCGGTAGTTTTAAACTAAAAAATGTGCGATCACCGAGACTGGAATCGTTTTTATTTCAGCCCGGCGTTGAGGTCATTTATAAGCCAAACCCTAGTGATTCATATCAAAAGCGTGGGAGAAATCCGACTAAGACGTGGTGACAAATCCACTCCTAAAACATATCTGTCTTTTACGCGTACTTTCCGGGGCTTCTCAGATTTAGACACGGTCTTCACTCAGAGAAATGATGATGTACAGCTACATCTGCGATGCGTTAGAAACGGAGCCAGAGTGGAATAAGACACAGGCGGAGGGGGAAACGACTAATAAAAGACATCGCAACACTGCGCTCCATCACGAAAGCTGCGCTGAGAATAGTCAGGGTTGGAATAAATCTGTTCGGGCAAAGAGTCAATAAGTCCTGGAACAAGATATCAGGTCCTTCCATTTGTCTCCCTGACTCATTCAGGTAAAACCTAAATCTCCATTCAGTAGTCAGACTTTGGGCAGGGCATTGACTTCAGGTGCCTTTGCTAAAAACTCAATAAAGATGAAAAACCCAGAATGCATCTTTATCTATTTTAAAACTTTTTTGTGTGCGTGTGTCCTTTTTCTTATGACTTTTTCTTATTGCCTGGGAGTGATTGGAGGTCGTTTTGTTGTGTGTTTTGTTTTGTTTTTATAACTAAAGGGAATTGTATGGTTTGTTTTATATGCATCACATTGTAAATGTATGGCTATGCCATTGTTGTTAAAAACCAAATAAACAAAGTTTGGAAAAAAAAGATGGAAAAACCCTCCCGGGTCATTTGAACACACTCACTCGTTCATCCTGTGGTCCTTGATGTGGCGGTGGAGGGAGATTTTGTCGCTGACGTAGATGTTGATGGCGTATCGCTCCACCGTTTCCTGCTCCAGCTTCTTCTCCTCGGGGTTGAGCTTGAGGTGGGTGGCGCGCCCCCACTCCCCGTTCGCGTTGCTGTCGGGCGCCGGGCGGACGTACAGCGGCCTGGCCAGCCGCCCGCCCTGCTCTGCGGTCAGCTGCCGGCCCGCCGGGCCGCGCTGGCCGCCGCCCTCCTCCTCCTCCTCCTGCGCAGGGGAGGAGAAAGGGAAAGAGGAGCGCTCCATCAGAAGGAAGCCCAGCCACAGCAGCCACAGCAGGAGGCCAGCCTTGGCCAGCACACCCAGTTTCCGAGAGCAGCGCCCCCTCATGGCGGATGGGGGCCGAGACTGGCCGAGCTTCAGGGGCCCCTACAGGACACGGGCATCTGCAAGACAGGAGCAGAGACGGGGGGGTGAAAATTTTATGAACTCATTGACTGGCAGCCATTTTCAGAACAGAGAGTCCCATACTGTCAGAGTTTTTTTCAGCATTTTGACTGATTTTTCAAGAGCCACAGAATAGTTTGTGCTATGACTATGTGAACACCGAACACACCAAGAGAAAGAGTAGACTCTCTTCTTTCATCAGTAAAAAAAATTTGTTTCTACCTTATTCTGTTCTTCCTCTACTTGCGTCTCACCGGCGACATGTTCTCTCATAGCGAAACGTTACGTTTTTCTTATTTGCCTACAATCTATGCTCATCTCCCATCAAAGAGGGTAAATTTGTTAGTACATACTCTGTCTGGAAGCCGATATTTACGGAAAAACTTTAGCCGATCGTCCCCCAAGCCACTCGCCTTGAAAAACATAAAAAAAGTCTATAGACGTCTTTGGCAGCGAACGTATTTGTATTTGAATTTGTATTTGAATTGACGTCTATAGATATCTTTGGCAGCCAATGAGTTAACAGGTCTTAAAAATTGTTCATCTTGAGCCAAACAACCGGGATGCTGCTCTGAATATATGTAGTTACCTAAATGGCACACATTTATAATCATCCATGTCAGCACCATGGCTGAGATTAGCCTCGGAGACCTTGAGATCTTCCTATCAAATGTTTACCAAACAAGTGTAAAAGAATTCAAAGTGAGCTAAAAATGTCTCCCAAGTTGAAGGTGAACCAGCAGATTAGATTTAAACAGCCCTATTTTCTGATGAACAAACACTCTTCTTTTAAAAAGAATCAGAGCAACAGCTCTAAAACGAACATGTCTGAGCACTGCTTTTGTTTCCAATCGGATTTAGTGAAGAATCAGGCCAAATGTGGGGTTAGTCTTTTTACTCTCTTGCAAAAAAAATGGTGAATCTCACAAATATTTGACCTCGTACAAATCCTCTTTTGCTTATTAAAAAAAGGAGGATTAGTCAAAGTTGGTGGATCCACAAAGAGATTTTTCTTTCAGTCATTCACGTCCGTCAGACGGGCTCAGCCTGCCAAAAACCTTAAAGAGGGCTGAACTGAAAACAAGCCACTTAGCCGTGTTGACACTCAGCTGGATGTAATCACATAATTGTGTTGCATTAATATTAGAGCAGACTGCTATTTACCGGCTTAGCGGGCATACTCGTGTGCGCACGCCAGCACGGGTTACTGGTTATTTCCATCTCCTATTCACATAAAAAACTACCGGAAAAAAGAAAAGACAGGACGCCTTGCCTGGTAATAAGAAGCAGATAGGTCAAACAGATACATTCGGGGAGTCTTTGCAACTACAAAACAAAAAAAGCAAGCCGAAAAAAAAAAAGAAAGGACATTTCCACTGCGAGTCCCTCACAGAGCAGCAGCCTTTTCATTCCCGTCTGGGCTCCGGCCAGAGGACTCTTGGACTCCTGAGGTTTCAAAATGGAGACGCCTGCGGACAAAACCCTCTTTTATTGGCTGTCCATCACACCTTCCACTCTCCCCCGAATCCGATAGCCGTGGCGGGGCGTTTGTTGGGAGCGAGCGGGTAGGAGGCTGATGGCTTGGAAGCGGTTCTAATCCTGAAAGGCTTTTTTGATTAAAGGAGAACCTAACAAAGACGGGACAGTGTGCGACGGAGGGACTGAGCCGAAATTCCTGACCCGCAGACTCTGGTGCTAATTTAAACCCAGATACTGATGAGAGAGACGCCTCCGTAATTTATGCTCTGCGGAGAGAAAAAAATAGAAATTGCAGGCTTGATTTTGGGGATGGGCTCTGAGGTTTACACGTTAAAAGTCTCCCCTGCTCGGCCTGGAATAACCAGGGAGTCTGCCTCATTCATCTATCCGGAGAAGGGCAAACAGCCGGGAAGAGGGGAGCAAAAACAGCCGTTCACAGGCAAAGCATGAGAGCTTTTTCAGCTTTTCCTCTCAGAAATCAGCTCTCCACGCACACGCAGAAACAAAAGCAGGGCTCTGACAAACGCAGCTTCCTCTGTCTGGTCACTGGAGCAACTTGGGCTCGCTTTTGGTTTCCTACCCTCTCAGGGACAGACAGTCTGATCCAAAAAGAATCAACTCTGATCTGGTGCTCTGCTTTAGGCTGAAGGGAAAGGGGGGTGGGGGGGGGGGGGTCAGCCACAGGTTTCCAGACCTGTCAGCTGTCTGGAGGACGAAAGATCGGGCTGATCTTTCGATATGTCGCCTCAATAATGCCAAAACAAAAGCAAAACACAAAGAAGAAGAAGAAAGAAAAAAAGAAGAAGAAGAAGAAAATAAACAACACAGCAGCAAGGCGGAAGCATAAAGGCAAATCTGAACTTTCAAACTCTGATATCGACACGCAGTTAAAAGTCATATTAAACCGATTTGGAAGGCGGTTTTTGGGCTCTTTCTCGGGTTTTTTAAGTGTGTACACCTTCAAAAGGCAAATTATAAGTTACACGAACTTAGCGAACCGACAGCTAAAACAAAAGGGTAAAGAAAATGCACCGGAAAAAAAGGAAGTTGTGGAGTCATCTTACCTCCGCGACCAGTTACATGTTTTAGAGTTTCTTCGAGAGAGCAGAGGCCGTTTTCCGTCCGCCTGTCCCTCGCCTCAAACCGCTGGCGTGCAGATGTCAGCATACCCACATCCTCTCCTCCGGTCTGAGGCTCCTGGGCAGTGTGGAAGCGGAGACTGAATCTCTTCGTGTTCCGGTACGACCTTTCAAAATAAAGGTGGCACCGCGAGCGCACAGATAACTTTCAGTTTGAGGCGATGGCTAACTATGCAAATAAGATTTGGGGTTATTTAAAGCAGCTTGTTTTCCACTTAATTTTGGATATTTTATGGAGGTGTTATTTTTTTTACAGTTATTGGACGCATGACCACAGTTTACTGTGACGTTATTGTCTCGTTTTTTTCATGTAGAATCACACACCTCGTTTCCATAGCAATGTTGTTGACATTTTTTAAATGAATGAGGATTTTTTGACAATACAACAACAAAAAATGGTCACAAATTAAACCAAACAAGTCAATGATCTGTGCACGAGCGCCAGAAAATTCAATGACTGTGATTATTTCACCAAATATTCTTTGAAACGTTCAGAGAGGGATTCACCAGCATTGGACAGCACTTCAGCATTTGTCATTTCCTTGTTATTATTTCCACATATAAGAAAAAAAAATACTTCTGTAATCTTACTTCCGGTGCTGCTAGCTAACTACGGCTAACTTGCCTGCGCGTGAGCACTCCGTGCTAGGCGGTTAGCAGAAGCCCCTGGCTGTTAGGGGGTTTCAAAGTTTTACAGTCACATAAACTCTGTATCAAATTGCCACAGCCGGTTTTGATTTAGTCTCACACTGATTAATATATACAAGAGAATAAAAAAAAGCCCCAAGACTTACTAGATATGCACATGAATTTGACTGGAGAATGATTAACTCAAGTTCCCAGTGGTCCTATTCCCCTGAAGGCACCAGCTGTGTGTATAGATTATAACTATGATACAGACACAGTGCTGCCTTCAAATACCTCATCACAGAATCATTTCAACTGGAATACCTTCCTTTTGTTTACATTATTACATTTTTATTAAAGAAAGAATAATTAGCTAACTTTACCTAACTTCATCAGATGAGGGCCATTTATTGGACAGCAGGGGTTGGATGACCTTTGGTCTGTAGGGTGCCACCTTATCCAGTCATGGTAAATTAATAGCCATCCCAGCAAACTGTGCAAAATACCACCGTAAAAAGAAAAAAAAGTGTTTATAGTATAATAAACCTAAAGCAGCAACTGCAATTTTTCATGAAGTGAGCAGCAGAGATACATCTTAAATTAGATCTCTGTTCAAGAGATCTATTTAATCTACAATAGAATAGAAGCTTCAATAAGAAACGTAGTTTTGCAAATGGTTTGAGAAGAAGATGATTGTTTTGTTTTTTTGTCTTAATCTTATTATTTTTCACGCACTTTGAACTTTAAGTCACCAGAAATGGAATATATCCTACACCAAGCAGAGTTTGATTTATGGGCAGATGCTGTTTTGCATCCTGGTTTTATGTGTACAAAAAAAAAGCTAGAGGATTATAACAGCCACTGTAAGAACAAATATACATACGCGTGAACAAAAGATCATTCTCTCCTTGTGTTTGCCATCATAGGCTTGGTTTATTTTCCCGTAGTCCCAAGGTCCTGCTCACGCCGGACGCCGCTTGCCTTGAGTGTGAAAGGCGCCAGAGCGGCCTGCTGTTCAGCCAACACCTGCACCACTTGGTAAAGTGCCAACGTCTTTTTCAGTCGCTTTCCTCACTTTTTCCTGACCTCTTTTCTTCTCCTCGGTTGAAACTAATTTTGTCCTCTCTGTGAGAGCGATGTGTCCCTTCTAGGCCCGAAAAAGCTCCACATACCGTGATCAGTAGGCCGCTTGTTCCCCGTCTTTCCCCAGATGAAACTAATATTGGATTTACAGATGCTATTTTCTCCCTTTTTGCTACATTTTTCAAATATGTCTTGATGTTTTATTTCCATGTCTGGATGCAGATTTACCTTTGCAACATTATTTTTTTTAAGATGCATGCAAGCACTAAAAGTTGTGCTAAAGTTGAGTCATAATATTTGTAAAAGTTTGTTGATTTAAGGGTCATAGTTTGCATAAATTGAAGGTTGTACCTTCTTGCTGTCGTCTTTATTTGGTCTTTTCTGTCCTTTCACTCGCAGCATTCATTGTATTTACAGATCTAAATAACAGAAATCAAGATTATTAAGATAAGAAACATTCTTCATATGACCTGTAGGACAAAATTAAACAGTTCAAGTGAAGAGCACCATCTAGTGCCTGCCCGGAATACATCCAGTATGATATGTTATAAGTTATGGCTTTACAATTTACCAGCACTAGGAAGCCTTAAAGACCCACTGAAACTTTTCTCAAGCCAATTTAGGTCCAAAAGTGGTCTGAAAATAATCCCAATTGATAGAAAAAGACAGACAATTCCCCCTTTTTTGCCAAGAACAAATCAGAATGCTCACATCTATGTAGATGAAACTCTCTTAAAGAAACAAAAAAACAGCTTAGCCCTTTGTGAAATTCTTTTTTTTTACCTAACAGTGATCTGTAATTTGTTTGAACGACTCGTTTAACCTCCAAAATTAGAAGCACGGCGTTGTGAAGTGATGCTCGGTAATGAATCAAGTATCATGTGCCTGGATTTTGCTTTGCTTATTGTTTATTTACTGAGCTCGTGCAATAAATCACAGTGAGAAGAGGTGACATTGTGAGTCCAGGACCCTGTAATGTAATGGAGATGGATTCTGGCCCGCACGCTCCCGTTGCTTATTAGCTCCCCAAAGAGCCCTAAGACACAGTGACCCTCAGCGTTGAGGACAGAACTTGGTTATCAGTTAGTGATTGGGATGGTGAAGCCCGGGCCTTTTTTCTGACCTTGGTCATAGGAGGACTTATCATTATTACGAAGAGCATTCACTCGTCAATCATTGATCCAGACGTAGCTAAACTGAGGGGTGAAAATGTCCATTAGATATGCAATGCAACAGCCATAACTCTGTTTAAAAATGTACATTTTACTCCTCAGACAGCTCAGCATTCTCTTTACGAGTATGCAGAGGCACACAGGGTGGGAAACAGAGAAAAAGCCCGGGAGAAAGATCAGAAAACCAAGAAAAGAGCACTTTTAAGCTTTATGGTCAGAAGGAAATAATAAATACAGTGTACTATTTAATAAGAAATGACTAATATACTCAGATTGTTTGAGTTAATCTTTTTTTTTACAAGCCATGTGAAATATTTAATGCATGTTGAACGTTCTAATGCGGAGGACTGCTGGCACTCACCTTTGGACTGTTTGTTAACCGTGTGTGTGAGCTGGAGATATGGAAGGTTGCTTAAATTGAATGTTTAGATTGAACATTTTAGGTTAAACTGAACATTTACTTCTGATGTCAAAAGCATTTTCGGAATTTTGCCAAAATATCTCCATTTATCCATCGAAATTTAAACTTTTCAAAAAAGTATTGACAAAACAGCCAGGAACTCCAAGTGAGAGACTTCAGCTAAATATTAGTGTGGCTACTGATTGGTCACAATATTACTAACAACCTGGTTCTTTGGGTGTATATATTTTTGTAGTGCCTTATTCCCAATGAAACATTTTTTATGTTGGTTAAGGTTATTTATAAACAGTAAGCAGAGTCCAGAGGGAGACATGTTGGCAAAAGGTAAGGGATTTTGTTTACAATAGTAGCAGTAAAATTGATTTGCAGATGGGCTCCGGCATCTGTTCCCCTCGCTCTCTGCTTTCTTTCCCTTTTGGAGAAAGCAGAGAGAGCCTCTGGAGAGTTCCACACATAATTTTGAATAAAACATTGAAATCTTTTACTTGGCAAGCATATCATCTAAAAAGAACAGGGATCCAAACATCCCATCTAAGGTGAGCAACAAGCTGGCACCAAGCAGACGACAAACTGGAGTTTATATGCTAGAGCCTCAATCTGACACCTTTTTCAAATGGTTTCAACACAAAAACTAATGTTTACGACCAGCTCTTCTTTTAGTTTTTAAACTAATTCTAATAATCAGCTCAGGATTTCAGCTATTCACTCAAACAATTTGGTTTTTTATCAAATTTGCTGATACATAAGGTATTAAAGGATTAAAGTGGTGTGATGCTATTAGTTGTTTGGCAATGTTTCGTGAGAAATAAGCAAGTTCTTCCCTAAAAAGATGTCCTTTCTCAAGAGAAGCTGCTTGTAAAACCTGCACACAGGAGTCAAAGTATCACATGCGCCGGTTTAATTAAAACAAATGGATATGTGTGTTCGGTCTCCTGACCTCTGTAGCACATTCAGCATTAACCGTGTTGTTGCAGATAAACGGGCTTCTGCACATTAGCACCTCTGCACTGTGCTAAGCATTCTGCCCTTTACTGGCCTATGTGTGCCAACAGCATGGCAAATTACCATGGATTTTCTATTTTACATCTATTTTACAACGAATAGAAGTTTTCACTCAGTTTGCATTTAGCTTTCATGAAATCTTTCAAGTTGAAAACACAATCTACAGAAACGTACTGGACGGTCGACCTGGAAACCGTGAAAACAAATCATTTTCTTAGGGCCAGATATGTTTTTTTCCCCCTCTTCGTTAGGCCTCAATAAGCCTCGGCTCAGAAAATTGGAATCGTTCTTGTTTGGGTCAGTGTGATGGAGCGCTCTCCGTGAATACTGATTGCCTGTTCAAAAGAAGTGAGACGCTGTGCTGACATCCATTTAAAACAGAATTAGTCCGGTTTGGCGTGTTGAACGATCATATCAGTGCTGCTGAACGGGGTTCCGCCCACTTGTTTAAGTAGAGGGTTTATCGTCATCATTATACAGTGGGGTGAAAAGGGATGGAAGGCCGATGTGCATTAGAGGGAGAGGAAGAGGGGAGAGGGTTGGCGGAGTGGTTTTGTCCGTGTGCCAAATCTGCCCACTCAGCAGTCCGTCCTCGCCAGCCGGGGGTCTCAGTGGGAGCGTCTCAGAGGCACGCACACACTTTTTTTTCTCTCCAGTCCCTCAACCAGCACCACACTCCTCCGCCCTGTTCCTCTGTCACCTAGGCAACCCGTCACACTCAGCCAAGTGCGCCTCCAAACTTGTTTGTTTCACTTCTG